TGTAGCTGTTTTTGTTAAGAGGAGATATGCTGACGTCAATTGCTAAGTGATTGGACTCCATATTTTTATTTTACCTTTTCCCTCTCTTTTTTATGAAGCACTCGACTATTAATAGAAGTAAATTTTCTATAGAAACGGGAAAAACAGATTATTTTCTGAAATGCATTGTTCTCTTTGCTTATGGGAAAATGCGGCAGAAGTGGTGCTTTACTTTGATTTCTTTCCTCATTCGCTGAAATGCTTTGTAGATTATTTTTCGATGTTTACCATGTTTTAAACTAATATCATTTTCTCTTTACAATCGTTCTTTTTAATGAATCCTAAATTATTGTCTCGATCCTAATCGACAAACGATAACTTATTCGTTTACATGCCCTTTCGATATAAATACGAGTGTCTTATGTCAGCAAATGCAGTATATGACATAGCAAAAGAACATCTGCCTAGAATTAAATAACATTTTATAGCATGCATTGGCCATTTCAATCTTTCTGTACGCCTGTTTTCCCGAACATTAACAGCAGAATTACGACGAAGACCCATTGGAGCATCGAAGAAAAGAAAATTGAAATGACATGAAAATGTCATAAGGATCATCACATTTTCCAATACAATCCGACAATACAAACATTTGGCAATACAAACATTTGGCAAGAAGAAGATACAGGAAGAGAAAAAATCGACTGAAAACGTCACTGAGTGAACTGGAAGATCCTTACAGAGAAAAGACACACACCAGAGACACGTGGAAGGAGCTGGTCAAGGGCTTAGTTACGAAACGACCCTATGACCACACACAATCACGAAACAGATGATAATGATATTGTCATTCATAAGATTTTTCAATGAATATGTCGGAACTATTTTTGTTTTCTAAGATTCTTTTTAATTAATTAAAAAAAATTAAACGGAAGTACCCAAAACAAATAACGTTTAACGTTTATATATATATATATATATATATATATGGAGTAGCGGCACGGATTGAAGAATCGGAAAGCCGAGTTCGAATTTCAGTCGAATCCTTCACTTACATTCTAATACCCTTGGGAAAGGTATTAATCCTCTTCTTCCTCCATTTATGTATAAATAGAAGGATGGAATGGGTTCTATAGCCTTGGATGGCAACTAGTCTAGGAGAAGGACAACCCTGAATTTAAAACCTGCGGAGGGTTGTTTGGGGACATTGTGGCTCGTACTGCACTAGGTCTTCAAAAGGTGTGGTTGGTTCTGTATAAAACCTTCACCACTATAATTAAATCATATGTACTGGTGTCTGACTGTTTGGTTCCTAGGAACTGAGCTGCTTGATCCTCATACGTCGAATACGACGGAAGATTCCACCATATATATAGTATAAAATCTGCCTAAAATCAAAGATCAGACTGTTGTGTTCATTGGTCATTTTAATCTTTCTGTACGCCTGCTTTTTCTGGGCATAAACAGCAGAATTATGGTGAAGATCCATTAGAAGACATCGTATTTGTCAATTAAGCCTTTGATGCAGTGTTGGGTCAAGGGTTCGAATTCCAGTTGTGATAGTTACATTCACTAATACAGAACTCCCCTTCGGAAATGTATGAGTCCATTATATTTAAATAGCAAGTGACATATTGGGTTCTATAGCTTTTGTTAGCAACCAATCTATAGATGGTGATTCGATAAAATTTTGCCATCGCCTAGAAGCCTGGGCCACTCGCGGTGATACGTAGGTCCATGAAAAGTTACAGGGACTGAAATTCTTCAGTCGTGTGAGTTTTGCCTCAGACGGAGAAAATGTTTTTCATCATCTCTAACATTTGGTGAAGGTTTCAATAAAATAGGTATTACGTGCACGGTAGCCCGTAAATATTAACCTCCTTTCGAAACATGAACGAAAGCAATTACCGCCAATAGAATAGTAAGAAAAACGAATTGCGAGATTCAAGGAATTGTCGAGAAAGGGAAAAAAATAAACCCGAAGAAAATAACAAGCCACAAAAGGTAAGAAAATAAGGCTATTTGGTCTTTTCTGTGTACTTTTTTTAACCATTTCAACCCAAGCAAGGCAATAAAGCCACTAAGACACAAGGAAGGTTACTGAGTGAGAAAAAACGAGAAAAAGAAAAACGTTATTAAGGAGCGAAAACAATAAAAATAAAAAAAATCAGGAATTAAGAAGACAGAAAATAACGATTGGCATTGCATTTACATTTTTTAAAGATCAAAGTTGACTGCCAAGCGATAACCCGGAAGAGACTTCCACAAGTAAGAAATGCGAGAAAAGAAGCCGTTTGCATAGAACTTACATCGAGCATTTAAATTCGTAAAGTCAAGGCAGCAAAGAGAAAAGCTCACCAGAACAATTACTATGGGATTATTTCTAGAACATTCACAGAGAAAGAGACTGCTAGCCGAGTTACCAGTCAGAACCAATAACATATCAGATTCCTCTTTGGATTTTATCAAGAATCAAGAAGAAACTTTCGAAAATTGGAAAGTCTTTAAATATTGCCATAACGCTGTAGGAATCGGATATGTCAGATAAAAGAGATTAGAACAAGTTAGCTATCGAATATCTCATACCCCTGAGAAAGGTAGACGGATACAGCGGCTAAAACTAAGATGAAGAAATTAGTCCGGAATAATTACTGTATAGTAATCATTAATGCTCATTAGAATATAATGAAAACTTATTAATAGACCAACTATAGCAGACGAACTTTTAATTATAATTATTATCATTTGTCCCATGAGCGGCTGTTTTCATGGCGTAGCTGAGCACACAACCAGCTCCCTAGATATGTCTCGATTGCATACCGATATCTGTGTTTCTATGGTAGATCGTCCAGTCTATTCAGTAATGTTGTCAGCCTATTTATCACCGATAATAAATCATGGTAGGTTCTCCCCATCGGAATGAAATGATTGGACGCAGCCGTTTGGGGGATGGCAATTTGGCATGGCCATTTTGGGCGCTAGCTAATTTGGCGTCAATCTTTTTGGTATGGAAAAAGTGCTTTGTCATTTTCATTGCTTGTTTCGTCAAAGACTTAGAGGAATGCAAGTTTTTATTGGCTGGCGACAAAACGACCGTGTCAAAACGCCAGCGCCCCAAATACCGCGCCAAAATGCACCAAAACGCTCTTCATATACCACACGTTGTCAAAAATGCAAATAAGCCTTTGGGTTGAGCCTGTACTCTATCAATTTTTTAAATCATTTCACAGTGGAGCCACTAAAAGACAAGGGGTTACTGTGTGTGTGAAAGTGTAAGAGAAAAGAGAAACATTTAGGAAAAGAAAGATAAAAAAGAGGAATTATGAAGAAAGAAGATAATTATTGACATTACATTTAAATTCTTGAAGATCAAAGTTAACTGGAAAGCAAGAAGCCAGAAGAGAGTTCCACAGGTGAGAAGTGCAGGAGAAGAAAGTATTAGCATAGAACTTACAGTTGCATTTAATCATTTCAAGTGTAAAATAATGAGACCCTTCGCCAATCTAGTACTATGCTTAAATTCATAACGTCTAGGTACCACAGAGGAAAGTTCATCTGAACAATTACCTTGAAAGTATTTATAGAAGAAACACAGGGAAACTATGTTACGGTGGGGGGGGGACTGAAGCCAAATCATGTGGCAGCAATAGTCAAGGTAAACTTGACGTATGGTAAACTTAGTAGGGGTAACTGTTTTTATGGCTGTCAGTTGATTCACATTTTTATTACAATGTACAAGATAAAAGACATCGACGGAAGGCATATTTATCGAAATATTTATTCCTGAAAATAAAAATTAAAGGCTTACTTCCACATCTCACTGAAATCCCGTACGATAAGCGAATTTAAGCAACGTCATGCTTGGTCAATGCCTAGATAGGTGACCGCTTGGGAATCCCAGCGAGAGAAGAAGCTATTGGAGTAGAAGAGGCGGTTACATTTAAGTTTTTCGACAGTAAAAAGGTGGGAACGAGATTCCAACCTAGTAGCACGCTTATATCCATGTAATCAGGGCACCAGTGAAAATAGCTCGTCAGAGCAGAAGCCATAAAAATCACCCGTCGATGTGCAGTTGAAATACACTGAAACCAAGTTGCATCTTTGTAGTGAGTAAAATAGTTTTGTCTATATGATAAAATTATAATAAAGTAATATATATATATATATATATATATCATGAATATGTACATAGATATCAGTATCGAGTGATTACAGTTACCATTCAATAATCCACGCCTTAAACAGTCATTTTATCACTGCTTAAGACCTGAAACCGCCAGTAACCATGAACTATTGATTTCTATGTCTATATCTATAAAAATTTTGCCCTCAATATTAACACGCCCTCAAATTCTAAACATTATATGCATATCATTTTTTAATCATTTCACCCCAAGCAAGGCGATAGTATCACTAGGACGCAAGGAGTTACTGGGAAGGAAAGAGAATGAGAAGACGTTAATGAGGAGAAAGGACAAAAAAAAAAAAAAAGAAAAAAAGAAGGAGTCAGGAAAACAGTTTATGGCGAATCTAGTTGCTAATCTAGTATTACGGTTAAATTCAATCTGTCGAGGTGGGAGAGTCATTAGAACAATTGCCATGAAACTATTTCTGGAAAAGATCGAGGGAAGTCATGTTAAGTGGCTGAAGCTGAGATGCCAGGTCAGAACCGATAATATTGCAGATCCTTCTTTGTATTTTGTCGAAAACCTCGAGATGAATAGCAGGAGCGCCAGACCAGATATGGCAACAGTATTCAATGCACGGACGAATGGTAGATTTGTAAATGTATTTGATAGACTCTGACGAGTAAAATTATTTGGTAGGACACATTTGTTGCGGCGCTAAGCAGGTTGACTGTTAACCCCGCAAACGGAAAAATAATATAAGATAATACGATCGAAGCAAGGACAACAAAACGAGGATGTAAAAGTTTAAGCCAAATTTTATTAAATAAATCTGGCACGAATATATACAGATAATCGTTTGTAGTAGTTCGGTCGTGTAGTCTTGGAGGAGTGTTGTCAGGTCTCAAGGCGACAGCTTGGAGGTAGGCCGAATGGAACCAGCGATGTTCTAGGTCCAGTCGATCCCTGGATGTCTGTACTTGCAGAGAGAGAGGATCGACGCGGACAGTGCTGTGGTGTAGTCAGTTCGTCCTTGGGTGGAGTGTCGCGCAGGATCGCAGCTTGGTAGTCCTAATAAAAGGACGCGGCTAGGTTAGTCCTGAAAAGGACTATTGCATATTATGTAATCGAGGGCAGACTATTGCATATCATGTAACCGAGGATAGGCTAGTGCATATCATGTAGCCGAGGATAGGCTAGTGCATATCATGTAGCCGAGGATAGGCTAGTGCATATCATGTAGCCGAGGATAGGCTGCTGCTGATATCTGCTGGCTCTAGCTGCTGCTGCTGCTGCTGCTGATGAGGAGGAGACCGGACTGCTCTGCTGGCTCTAGCTGCTGCTGCTGCTGATGAGGAGGAGACCGGACTGCTCTGCTGGCTCTAGCTGCTGCTGCTGCTGATGAGGAGGAGGCCGGACTGCTCTGCTGGCTCTAGCTGCTGCTGCTGCTGATGAGGAGGAGGCCGGACTGCTCTGCTGGCTCTAGCTGCTGCTGCTGCTGATGAGGAGGAGGCCGGACTGCTCTGGCTCTAGCTGCTGCTGCTGCTGATGAGGAGGAGGCCGGACTGCTCTGCTGGCTGCTGCTGCTGCTGATGAGGAGGAGGCCGGACTGCTCTGCTGGCTCTAGCTGCTGCTGCTGCTGATGAGGAGGAGGCCGGACTGCTCTGCTGGCTCTAGCTGCTGCTGCTGCTGATGAGGAGGAGACCGGACTGCTCTGCTGGCACTAGCTGCTGCTGATGTCTGCTGGCCTTGGCTGCTGCTGCTTCGTGTGGTCAGCGTAGGTGAGAGGGGGGAGCTCGTCGCTCAACCCCGAGGCCAAAAATCAGCCGAGAAGATTAATTTGGTGGAAAAAATCCGCTGTGTATATATAGGCTGAGGTCGGCAACGTAGCCTGTCAGCGATATATTTGGGGTGATGACTGAAAATTACCTTCTACTTTTTGGCTGTACACATGGATTCCATTCGGACACCATGTGTATATAAAGTAGTTTCTGGTAATTGTTTTGGTTAGGAAAGTTAGTATATGTAAATGTTTCGTTTTTTCTTAGTTTGTGTGAGACGTTGACTGAAAACGCTTAGTCACCGGAAGTTAACGGCATTCGTTATGTTTTCCGCGGTGACGCTTTTAGATGTTTGAGTAGCCGGCAGTAACTTCCGGCCGGGTGCGATAAGGCCCCTTCCTAGAGGATTGATCGTGATCAATTCACAAAAGAATGTAAGTCTTTAGTTTGGCAGGAAAATGAACTCTTCTGCCTGATTTTGTTCGTACGACTGGTGTTGTTGTTTCATCTTCCGTCGTTGTTGGTAAGTCTGGCTCGGGAGAAGTTTCCTCTAACCAAGCTGGTTTAAGTCGGTCGATGGAGACTGTATCTTTGTTTTTGCCGCGCATGATCGTGACAAATTTCTTAGAACGCTTCAGAACTTTGAAAGGGCCTTGGTAGCTAGGTGTGAGAGGTTTTTTTACGGCGTCGTTCCTAACAAAAACAAAATCGCAGGTATCCAAATTCTGTGGTAAGTAGGAGCTTGTGGTTTGTTTTCGTGGGGGAGTGTATGTAAGTTTGTCCATTTTGTGGCGCAGATCTTGCACGAAAGAACTTGGTGTGGATGTGCAAGAGTACTGCGGAAGGTGAAAATATTGCCCTGGTAAGGAGAGAGGCGTACCAAACACGAGCTCTGCTGTCGAACACCCTAAATCCGTCTTGAGGGTATTCCGCAAAGAGAGCATGGTCATGGGGAGGTTGTCGACCCAGTTGTGTATGTTGAGTTTGGTTGACAGGGACGTCTTTAAGGATCGGTGAAATCTCTCCACGAGGCCGTTTGCGCAAGGATGGTAAGCCGTCGTTTTAATGTGTCTGACACCCAAAAGTTGAGAGAATTCTCGGAAAAGCGAGGACTGAAATTGTGGTCCCCGATCTGTAGTGAGAACTTGTGGTACGCCAAAGTTAGTAATCCAGTTGGTGAGAATGGCTTTAGAAACTGTGGTAGCGGAAATGTCCTTAATCGGCACAGCGACTGGCCATCTCGAAAAACGGTCTATGATTGTTAGAAGGTATTGGTACCCTTGGCACATTGGTAGAGGCCCGACGAGGTCAACGTGGATGTGGCTGAAACGTGCGTCGGTGTGGCGAATGTTCCAACTGGTGATTTTGTGTGCCTCTGAATTTTGCATTTCTGACATTGTATGCATGTTGAGACCCAATTCCTAATGTCTGAATTCATGTTGGGCCACACAAATCGATCGGCGATAAGCTTGACGGTTGCTCGCTTGCTCGGATGGGATAGATTGTGGAGATGGAGAAATACTTTTTTTCTAAGAGATGGAGGAATGTACGGTCTCGGAGTATCCAGTGCGGTGTCACAGAAAAGAGTTTTATCGCTGAACGGACACGGGAATTCCTGCAGTTTCAAAGAAGTCTCCTTAATGATGTCAGGTATCGTCGTATCGTCTTTTTGTTTGTCGGCTATCAGCTCCTGGCTCCAAACGTCGTTATCCATGGTATTGACGTCTGTTCTGGACAATGTGTCTGCGACGGTGTTGTTCTTTCCTTGGACGTGTCTGATGTCCGTCGTAAACTGTGAGATGTAGTCGAGGTGACGTGTTTCACGGGATGTATACTTGTCTGCGCTGACATTCATCGCGTTGATCAGTGGTTTATGATCCGTGAAGATAGTGAAATGTCTGCCTTCCAGAAGATGTCGAAAATGACGTATGGACAGGTAGATCGCCAGGAGTTCTCGTGAGAAGGTACTGTATCTTCTCTGGGCTGCAGAGGGTTTAGCTGAGAAGAAGGCTATCGGCTGTCTCGTCATGTTCACTTGCTGCTCCACTACTGCTCCTATTCCAACGTCGGAAGCGTCTGTTGTAAGGAAAATTCTTGTTTCGGGTCGTTTTCGATGAATGAGAGTTTTGTGAAGTTTATCAGCGCTGTCTTTGCCGTTTCGAAAGCCCGCAAGGTATCTCCCTCTAGGGTAATTTGTTTGTTCTTCCGCTCTATGATGTTTGTTAACGGGGAGAGAATTGTCGAGCAGTTGGGGATGAACCTGCGGTAAAATTTATCATACCGATAAATCGTCTGATTTGCTTTGTGGATGTCGGCGTAGGGAAGTTTTGTATCGCGTCGACTTTCTCGGGTAATGGTGTGATACCGTCCTTGTCGATATGATGGCCTAAGAAGTTCACCTCAGATGCCCCGAAAGTGCATTTGTCCATGTTCAGCCGGAGTCCATAAAGTGCTATCCTTTGGAACACTTCGTTTAGATGTTTTTTGTGTGTGTTCTCATCTATGCTGGCTACCAGTATGTCGTCGATGTAGGCATACGCGTACGTTAAGCCGCGCAGTACCTCATCTATGAAGCGTTGGAACGTTTGTGCAGCATTCCTCAGGCCAAAGGGCATCTTGAGGTATTCAAAGAGACCAAAGGGAGTGGTTACGGCTGTCTTTGGAATGTCCTCCGGAGCTATGGGGATCTGGTGGTAGGCCTTAGTTAGGTCTATCTTCGAAAAGACGCGAGTGCCCTGCAACCCTGAGGCGAAATCGTGAATATGCGGGATCGGATAGCGATCGGGTATGGTTGTAGCGTTTAATCTTCTATAATCGACACATACCCTAAAGTCTGTGCTTCCCGGCTTAGGTACGAGATGTAGGGGTGAGGCGTATGGGCTATCGGAGGGTCGTATAAATCCGTCCTGCAGCATGTTGTTAAACTCCTTTTGGGCGTATTCCAGCTTATGAGGAGGAAGTCGTCGTGGGTGGGAAAAAAGTAGGCTGTCCACTGGTCTTTATATGGTGCTGTGTTTGGTGTCTTGCCGGACCGGTACCTGCGAGTGGTTGAATGAGGTCCGAGTATCTGTTTAGGATCTCGATGTACTCTCGTCCGTGGCAAGTTGTCACACTGATTCCAGTGGTGTTGTGTCGAGAGGGTGCCTTTAACAGCAATGTTCGTGGTATTGTCTGATAAAGTTCTCGTATTCATGTGCACGGCTAGATCATAATGGGCCAGGAAATCTGCACCGAGTATTGGCGTTTTTACGTCTGCCTGGGTGAAAGTCCATGTAAAATCGCGCCGCATACCGATGTTCAGAGTCAGTGTCTTGGCTCCATATGTCTCGATCGTCGAGCCGTTTGCTGCCTGGAGTTTATACGGGGTCGCCTTTCGGTCTTGCTGTTCTTTGGGGGGTATAACGCTGATAGCTGCTCCCGTGTCCACTAGAAACTTTATGTTGTTCCGTCGGTCCCATACGTAGAAAAGGCGGCTTCGTATGTTTTTGCCGGGAGGTTCTGCCGCCCTACCCGCCGGCTGTTTAGTTTTCCGACTTGGTTTTGGAGCTGTATTTGCAGGGTGCCGAGCAATTCTTTGCCCTGGTGCCGAATCTGTGATGGTACCAGCATAATTCCGGGTCGACTCGTCGACCCCTGCTGGTACTCCGTGCTCTCCGTCGCCAACCGCCGGTCGCCGGCATCGGGCCTCTCGATGTGCGGGAAAGGAGCATTCGTATATCCTGCAGCTGATGCTGCAGGTCAGCTACTGCCTTTTCCAGGTCTGTTTCTTTGGCTGATGTGTCGTCTGGGCGTTTAACGGCACACACTCCTTGGTCCAGTTTAGTTGCGATGCGGTCAGCGGAGTTTGCTAACTGGTCCAGTGGAGTGTTATCAGCGATTGGTGCCAATATCTGCGTTATGGTAGTGGGTAACTTGTCCATCCACAGTTCGCGCAAGATTGATTCGGCCATGGAATGTTTCCCCAGTCGGCTCCTCATGAAGCGTAGCAGCTGTGAGGGTGTTCTGTCGCCCTGGTGACGTGGGTAAAAAGTTCCCGGAGCAGTTCCTCGTCCGAACGGCCGGTTCGTTTCAGAATAGCCTCCTTGAGGCGAGTATATATGGCTCCTGCTCGGGTACGTGTTCCAAGATGTCGGCTACTTCGTCGACAACTGAAGGTGGCAAAACTTGTACCACGTTGACGAATTTTGCTTGTTGTGATGTGATTTTCCGTACCGAGAAAATGGCTTCCAGCTGTAAAAAACCAGTTCTTGGTGTTCTGCTCGTTGTACGGAGGGAGGTTTGTGAGTGGCATTGCCACATTTATGAGAGTGTTCTGTTCCCACTCGTCAGTTGCCATCTTGCTCGATCGTAAATATCGGGGGGGTCACCACTTGTTGCGGCGCTAAGCAGGTTGACTGTTAACCCGCAAACGGAAAAATAATATAAGATAATACGATCGAAGCAAGGACAACAAAACGAGGATGTAAAAGTTTAAGCCAAATTTTATTAAATAAATCTGGCACGAATATATACAGATAATCGTTTGTAGTAGTTCGGTCGTGTAGTCTTGGAGGAGTGTTGTCAGGTCTCAAGGCGACAGCTTGGAGGTAGGCCGAATGGAACCAGCGATGTTCTAGGTCCAGTCGATCCCTGGATGTCTGTACTTGCAGAGAGAGAGGATCGACGCGGACAGTGCTGTGGTGTAGTCAGTTCGTCCTTGGGTGGAGTGTCGCGCAGGATCGCAGCTTGGTAGTCCTAATAAAAGGACGCGGCTAGGTTAGTCCTGAAAAGGACTATTGCATATTATGTAATCGAGGGCAGACTATTGCATATCATGTAACCGAGGATAGGCTAGTGCATATCATGTAGCCGAGGATAGGCTAGTGCATATCATGTAGCCGAGGATAGGCTAGTGCATATCATGTAGCCGAGGATAGGCTAGTGCATATCATGTAACCGAGGATAGGCTGCTGCTGCTTCGTGTGGTCAGCGTAGGTGAGAGGGGGGAGCTCGTCGCTCAACCCCGAGGCCAAAAATCAGCCGAGAAGATTAATTTGGTGGAAAAAATCCGCTGTGTATATATAGGCTGAGGTCGGCAACGTAGCCTGTCAGCGATATATTTGGGGTGATGACTGAAAATTACCTTCTACTTTTTGGCTGTACACATGGATTCCATTCGGACACCATGTGTATATAAAGTAGTTTCTGGTAATTGTTTTTGGTTAGGAAAGTTAGTATATGTAAATGTTTCGTTTTTTCTTAGTTTGTGTGAGACGTTGACTGAAAAACGCTTAGTCACCGGAAGTTAACGGCATTCGTTATGTTTTCCGCGGTGACGCTTTTAGATGTTTGAGTAGCCGGCAGTAACTTCCGGCCGGGTGCGATACATTCAACTAACTTACCTACCAGTAAACCTAATCATTATCATATATATATATATATATATATATATATATATATATAAGTTCTTAAATGTTTAAAGCAGCAAAGTTTTTGTAGTGAACTACAGCAGAGGGCAAAGAGGCCCAGGGTTGCATGTCCTTTTTACAAAGCTAGAATAAAATCAAGAATAAAATAATTTACTTCCAGCGCAAGAAAAGATTCGAACGTGCCTCACGGTATAAACAGTACAACGGAGAAAGAAATGGCGCCTTCGCGGGTCGCATATTTAAAATAGCTAGATCACAGAGTAGGATGTTCTTTCACGAGATTATCCTTGCAGATATGCAAATTTTGACTGTGAATGATACATAAAAATGGAATGAACGAGGACACGACTTAGTGAGAAAAACAACAATTTACTGTTGTGGTGAATTGGCGACAAGTGTCGCGGACGAGAGGGACAAAAGAAACCGATTGTTAATTACAGTTATATATATATATATTTATATATAATGGGAAATAAAAATGGTGCCTTTCTTGTACGGAGAAAAAACTCGTGAATTTGAAATTGATATTAAATCATAAAAATCACTGTAAAATGAGCTGTGAAAATGTTTTGAATTCACAGAAATACATATACACATAAACAGACAACTTAAACCCTGAAGATGGTCTCAGATAAGACCGAAAGTACTTGGGAAAATAAAAATTATTTGAAAGAAAATTTTGGCATTTTTCATAATCAATTTTTTACGGCTACCAAGAAATTGATTCGTGTACTTGAAAGGATTAAAACAAAAATAAACATAGTATGTCTAAATTATTTAACCAAACGTTTTTGAAATATATATATATATATATATATATATATATATATATATATATATAATTTTTACGCATCCAATACGAAACTGCTGTCTTTTAGTCGCCTAAGAGAACCATTTTTATCTTCCATCAGCATGGCTGATGCTAACACCAACGAGAGTAATTCATTGCACTTTCTTGGACTAACCTTTTCCACTGACATGACGTGGGTGGACTATATTAAATTGCTAGGTCTGCTGCTTGAAAAGTTGGTACACGGTGTCGAGCTAGACAATTTTTCTCGATAGAATCAATCTGACGTATTTATATATCTACTATTCTTCCTCGCAATGAAAATTGCTAGTTTGGTACTCCTGCTGTATATGTAGAGATTTTCAAAAAATCCAAAGGAGAATCTGCAATATTATTGGTCCTCATCTGTCATCTGGTAGTCACTTTTTCACCACTGTGCCTTTCCTACAAAGACTTTCATGCTAATTGTTCTGATGAACACTACTCTCTGGTACATAGATTTATGAATTTAAGTGCAGTACTAGATTGGCGGCAAGGTCTCATCATTTTCCAGATGAAATGGCTAGATGCAACCGTAAGCTCTATTCTAACAGTTTCTTCTTCCGCAATTCTAGCTTGTGGAAATCTCTTCCGGCTTCTAGCTTCCGAGTTGAGTTTGATCTTCAAACATTTAAATGCAATGTCAATCGTTATCTTCTGTATCCGTACTTGTTTTATTGTCCCCTCATCTTAATAGTGTATTTTTCTAATATTCTTTAACATTCAGTAACCCCTTGCGTCATAGTAGCTTTTATTGCCTTGTTTAGGGTGAAAAAAATTATAAATATATATATATATATATATATATATATATATATATATATATATATATATATATATGATATGATAAAAACATACATATGTTTATACACATATACTTGCACTTAGATATATATTTTTTACCCAGGTGTTATAATAACAGTGTTATATAACAAATCTTTTAACTATATATTAGTGAATATACATAATATAAATAATATCCCACATAAAAACTATATACTACAGTAATATACTGATATATATATATATATATATATGTGTGTGTGTGTATTTGAACCAGTATATTACTGTAATACATAGTTTTTATACAAACAGTTTTTTTAAAAATATATAGCTCAATAAAAAGGAATAGAGCATTAATCATGATGTTCGATTTCGTATCTATTTTATCAATGGAAATGCATTGGGAAGTGCCTTGACACATGAAGAATAGAATATAAACATGGACCAGAGGAAAGAAAATACGCACACACACATATATATATATATATATATATTTTAAAGATATTTTTGTAGGTACAAAATTTAATGATCGAAATAAAAGTATAAAATTTAATATTACAAGACATATTAAAACAATGAATAGGGAAAAAAAAAAAAAAAAAAATATATATATATATAACTTCTGATATATCAAAACACATATATATATATATATATATATGTGTCGCTTTTTTTTTTCCACCTATTCACATTGTACATTCTGTTTTAAAATTGAATCTCCTGTGGAAGCCTGACGAGCGGGAGCGAAACCGGTTGCTTACCCACCTTGTATATGAGTTTTTTTTTTTTTTTTATTATTTAATATTGTTTTAATATGTCTTGTAATATTAAATTTTATACTTTTATTTCGATCATATATATATATATATATATATATATTAAGTTTTAAAATATAGCGATGTAAAATCTTATATATATATATATATATATACAGAGAGAGAGAGTGCAGAAAACTTTCTGCATTCTATTGAGGATTCTTCTAGACTCCATGAATTACTATAAATCGTTATTCAAATCCCCCCCCACACACACACACAAATTTATATCACTTGTATATCCTTGCATGATCTATCTTCTAATGCTCTGGAGTGAGCATCTGGGGGAATGAAGACGTGGCTCTTTGGGGCACAATCCATTGGGTTTCGTCAACTTGGATGTGTTTCACCACCGGAATTTAGTGAGTAGCGGCACTAAATCAAGTCTAGTCAGTTTCTTTTTCGCCACGGAGTCCCTCTGGTCTAGTGGTATGACGCTTGCGGTGTATCGTAACGCCCCCGGGTTCGATTCTTGGGAGTGGATGCGCATTGCTGATGAGTCTTAAATAAGACGGAACGGTCGTCTAGCGTATTCTTTTAAAGTTTCTTCTAAACTCGACATATATATATATATATATATATATATATATATATATATATATACACACACACAAGGTTCATTAAAAACGATTGACAAGTCACTACCGTTAAATTTTTATTTAATTATTCTTAACCGCAGTAGCTTGTTAGTCGTTTTAATGAAACTTTATAGAAGTGGGGGCTACCCAAATACCAAAATATATATATATATATATATATATATATATATATATATATATATATATACTTCACTAAACGTTATATATGTGTACGTATATACAATAATGGACAGGTTTAAAGGTTATGAGAAAATGTCACGGAACAGCCGTGTGCTGCAGGCGGCATTGTCATTATCAAGACATTCAAATATTTGTGAGTGAACTGCAGCATCTAATGAACCCTCCCGCGGAGAATAATTCAAGAAACAGAAGTCTCTTTGCCAGAAGAAGGAATTCCACCACTCTACAGTATATTTAGATTCAACGAAGCAGCTCAGCGTTGTACAATGGTGAGCCAATTCCAGCGACTTGTAATGGAACTGTTTT